ACACCGACGTAATCGCCTTGAGTGGTGCAGACAACGGTCACTCTGGGATCAGGAATGGAACAGTATTGTCTTTAGTGACGAGTCTCGATTTTGTTTAGGCATGCACGATGGTTGTGCCAGGGTTAGAAGGCGACGTGGTGAAAGGAGGAATCCACAGTTTTTTGTTGAAAGACATGTTCATCACACTGTTGGAGTTATGGTTTGGGGTGCTATAGCTTATGGTTCCAGGTCACCTTTAATCTTCATCAGAGGTAACATGAACGCGCAGCGTTATATCCACGAAGTTCTAGAACCCCATCTTTTATCCTATCTTGACACCCTGGCAGATCCAACTTTCCAACAAGATAATACCCGACCACATGTTGCAAGAGTCACAATAGACTTCTTTCAACATAATGATGTCACATTGTTACCATGGCCACCATGATCTCCCGACTTATCCCCAATTGAGCACGTGTGGGATATGATGGGTAGGAGATTGCTCAATTTGCAACGTCCTCCTCAGACTCTAGAAGCACTTCGAGAGGAGTTGGTGGTTGCCTGGAATGAGATACCACAGGAGGACATTGACCACCTGATCAGAAGCATGCCTAGGCGCGTTGGAGAATGCGTAGCACATCAGGGTGCATCCACACATTATTAAAGGTCAAAGGGCTTTAAAGCAGTGCAATCATTTTGAAATTTTTATCATTTACTTATTATGCTTCATTAAGTACTTATACAAAATTTTATTAAAATAAAACCATTTAAACTGGGTGTTCGGATTTATATAAGTATATAATACGCACCCACAAATTCTGTTTCTCTATCTTCTAAAATAAAAAAGTTAGGGGTGAGCCACCTAGGAGAATCACCCGGTATAGAAATACGATAATTCATATCTTTTTATTCTAGGTGTGTTTCAATTGCCGAAAGTCCGGCCACAACCTTTCTGAATGCCCAGAATTGGGCAAAGACCAACTTGTAGCCACTACTGGAAGTGGCATCTGTTTCAAATGCGGATCGACTGAGCATAGTCACTTGGACTGCAAAGTTGTAAAGGGCCAGTCTTTCAACTATGCTCAATGTTTCATTTGCAACGAGCAGGGACATATAGCGAGGCAGTGCCCGGACAATCCCAAAGGTCTATATCCAAAAGGTATGTTAATCAGATTATATCAATCAAAGTTCCTTCTTTTGTTACTCTCGACCTAAACGTCATTTACAAGGTCTGCGACAAAGTAAACAGGACAAGATATCCGATACAAGTAGCGCTATCTATTATCTAGGGTTGGTTACATCTTTCATTGTTGCCCTGTCAAAATTTCATGACCACTTCACGCGGAGTTATCGCGCTCAAAGTGACAGCACCTTTTTAGCATCGGTCGAAAAAATGAGCATCGGACAAAGAGCAATATTTGTTGTTAACGTTGGTAAAACATTTACCGAAACGTATCAGATGTTTATGAAAGTGTATGGTGATGATTGTTTATGCCATAGCGTCGGACCGTCGGAAAAGTGCGTGAATTTATGAAAAATGATACAATATCTTCATTGGGATACATAGAAATGGAATTAAATATCTCTAAAGATGTGTTAACGGTTTGTTCCGCACAAGCAGACGGATAACCAAAAAATGCTTCGAAATTTCTATACAACATTGTAACTGGTGTTGAAACGTGGTCTTTTCAATACGACATACCTTGTATGTCACGTTAAAACAAATGTGGCTACTCGATCGCTGCTTCAATGGAAGAATTTGGAGATCTCGTACTGATGTTTGCTTTGACTAGGCCGACAACTTTTTCCCACGGTATCGACCCCCCATACATTATTTATAACATCAAAATATATAATTATTTTTTTCAGGTGGAGGTTGTAATGTATGTGGAGATGTTAGCCACTTGAAAAAAGATTGTCCTTCTTACCAAGAGCAGCAACAAAAACAGAACGACACGTTTAAATTGGGAACTTTGGGAACTTCTAACCCTGACGCAGACGATTATGATTCTACACATAAAGTGCAAAATGTCAATAATAATAATAGGCCAAATAAAATTATAAAGTTTTAGCGCTTGTGTATCTCTTGATCCTTTTTCAGCCACAAAATATACATAAAACAGTGAATATTTCAGAGAGAAATTGTAATTACTAACGAATATAGCCATTTAATATGCAATTATTTCAGTTATTAACGGATTCTACCTGAGGATATACAACATAATAGTATATATCCACGAATAAGAAAAATTATAGAACACGAAATGAGATAATCTACAGGGTGGCCAACGAAAAGGTCGCACCCCCATTTGTGACTCTCCTGGTATATGTTTGGAAAAACGCTCGGACATGGGAATTTTGATTTCTAGGGGGACGTCTTTTCATCTATAGCCGTACAATACAGGGTGGTCCAAAAATAAGATTTTGCGTTACATTTTAGATCCATGAAGTTTTTTGTAACTATTATATAATAAAGTTTATACCTATCTCCAATCGTTGTGAAGGTATTTGAGTTTATAATAAAATCCTAGAAATTGTGATAAGGGATTATATCGTAAAAATAATATTCAATATAGTTCCCACAGTAACAAGTCTTTAAAATTAAAAACAAGTCTTTAAGTATTGAAAATACAAAAAATAACGTACAGCACACGCACATTAAAGTTAAACTAAAAATTAATTTGCTACAAAGAGGTAGGTCAATGTGGTAATAAATGCTGAAAGTGGTGTCTATTTACCTCCATGCAATAATAAAGATGCAAAAGCTATTGAGCATGAAAAGAAAAGTAAAATCCCTGGTAGCAAAAATACAGGGAATAACAAGAATGCTCAGAAGCCGAGTGAAAGCGAGAACAATCTTTCAGAACTATATTTGAAGAAAAAAGAAAAGAAGTTGGAAAGAAGAAGAAAGCAGGTCGAGCAGAAATCCTTTTTCAGCCTCAAAATATACATAAAACAAACATTGAATATTTTGATGAGAAATTGTAATTACTAACGAATATACTCATTTAATCTGCAATTATTTCAGTCATTAATTAACGGATTCAACCTAGGATATACAACATAATACTATATCGACGCGTCCGAAAAATTATAAGACATGAAACGAGATACTGTAGCGTAATCTACAGGGTGGCCCAACGAAAAGGTCGCACCCGCATTTGTGCCTCTCCTGGTATATGTTGGGAAAAACGCTCGGACACATCAATATTCATTTCTAGGGGGACGTCTTTTCATCTATAGCCGTACAATACAGGGTGATCCAAAAATAAGATATTGCGTTACACTTCAGACTTTTAAAATGGAAACCCCCATGAATTTGTTTAGTAACTTTCTATAATAAAGTTTATACTATCTATTTGAACCCAGGTAAAAACGCTACAATACAAAAGTTACTAAAAACTTCATGAAAAATCTAAAAATTAAAAAATACATATCTTAGGACTGCATCATTTTTCTTTCATGTAAAGATATTCCAATGCTGATAGAAGACAGCAACCAAGCCCAGACCGATTCTTGAGGCAAGTGCATTAGTAAAGATTAAGAAAATTTGTCGGTATGAAATTTTTGAAATCAAAGCAGTAAGAAGCATGTGCATCAGCCTCTTGTTGCGTTCTCATGCATTTTTAAAGTTTGATTTGATTGCCGTAACTACCTTTTACATCGAAAGAGAGCGTTCTTATCAGGTAAAGACTATACAGGGTGGATCAAAAGTCAAAAACAGATACGGGGTGCTGAAGTTTAAAAATAAAATACTTTTAATATATTCAAAATCGTCAACTGGAATGAACTAAAATGTAGTACGTGGATTTACCAAAGTATTATCCACATTCCAAAGTCTTTACTTAACATTAACGTGCACCAGTGGCGGGGATTCAGGGGATTAGTGACATTATTTTAAAAAAGGTTTTTACGCGGTCATATCTAAGACTTTGGCAATATGGAATTGCCAAACTTCCCATAGTTAGAGGGCATGGTGTCCGGCACACTGTCCAAGAGGAACTGGAAGTGATTAATTTGTAATCAAGTGTAAGGGCGAAATTTTTGTGAGTGGTTACTGCAAATGCATAATCAAAATGCAGATTTTATTGATTTGGTTTTTACAAGGAGTGTGGAACCTTCAATTCTCACAATGAACATATTTGGTAGTTAGAAAATTCCCGTTCTGTAAGAATCCACTCGTTTCAACACAGATTTTCAAGAAATGTCAGGTGCGGCATTTTCAATGGCGAACTGTTTATGCACGTATTGCCACAATGTGGTATCAGCACGCCGGTGCTCCACCGCATGTTCGTCGTGACCTAACCGCATGGTTAAATAATCATTTTAGACAACGATGGAGTGGCAGAAACGGACATTGGCCTGCGAGGTCTCCCGATTTAAAACCCTGGACTTCCTCCTGCGGGTCGCTTTTAAACAACTTGTGTATGCTGCAAAATACGTTATTCTTTGTTAAAAAGATGCCGTACATGTATCCGTCAGATTGGTGGTCTTTTTGAACATATATTGAAATGAAGATTATCTAATTTGTTTTTCAATTTTTACGAAAACAATGCACTCTATGAAAAAACACAAGATATTTGTATTAAATTGAAGGTTATATTCGAAAAATCGCGCGTAATTAAAAAACAAACAGTGACGTGCTATTTTTATTTGGAAAAATAATGCCACTAATCCCCTATATCTCCGGCACTGATGCACGTTAATTTTGAGTGCTTTTGAATGTGGACAATACTTAGATAAATCCACATACCAAATTTTAGATCATTCCGGTTGACGGTTTTGAAGATATTAAAAATAATGTTTTTTATTTTTAAACTTCAACACCCCGTATCTTTTTAACGAAGCCCACGAGGAAAAAATGTTACATAAAATGCGGTCCTGTGTATGTTTCATTTTTGGTCACGACTTGTGAATCACCCTGTATATACCTGTATCTATTTCTGCAGCGTGTCTAAATCTTCTGTCTCCAGAACTCGACATGACCTGTAATAATTTGATTCTGAAAAATACGAAGGCAATAAAAATACACATATATTTATAGGATATGAATCAATGAACATTTCATGCACGAAAACTGCTAGTCAGATTTCACCTATAAATGAATACATTTTTGTGTTACAACATATATTAATTAAAAAAAAAAGAATACTCAAAACATGGAAGTTACCATTCTAAAAAAAAAATATATGTAAAAGTACAATGAATTAAGTGCATAATTAGGGCAAAATAGTTTCATATACACATACTTCTATGTACATTGTAAGATGCATTATATGTTAAGTTGACCAAGAATGAAGTTCCACTTTGTTACTAAATATACAAATATTTGAAATATAAATAAAACATTGAAACACTAGATAGGAAAATTATAAATACAGGTCCAGCGGAAAAGTTCACATTTCAAATTTAAATTGCATATATTGGGCACCAACGGACCCAAAACAGAAACATCAACTACATAGTCCAAAGGCGACTGTTTGGTGCGTCATATCCTCTAGCGGTATTATTGGGCCGTATTTCTTTGAAGATGAAAACGGTCAAGTATTGACAGTCATTTCCGAGCGATACAAGGACATGATTGACACTTTCTTGCTCCTACTGTAAGAACAGAACGTCGATTTAACAGAAACGCATGGTTTCAACAGGATGGAACCATTGCGCATACTTCCAGAGAATCCATGGACACGGTGAAAGCACGTTTTCCTCAAAAAGTTATATCGAAGTTTGGAGACATTCACTGGCCTCCTGGGTCACCAGACCTTACGCTATGCGCTTATCTAAAGCCAAAGTGTATTCCAATAATCCAAGAACAGTGGAGGAGCTTAAAAGGACGAGAAATAAACAACAACAACGTCACTCCGGAACTCTGCAAGAGTGTTTCAGAATTTGCGCGCGCTATTAGAAGGGATGACAAACATTTGGGCGGAATGATGTTTAAGAAATAAAACTCGCCGAATTTACGAATATGTTGATAGTAATAAATATGTTCTTATCATTAAGTTTGTGTTTTATTTCTTGAATCAAAAAGTGAACTGTTCCACTGGACATCCTATTATCATCATCATGAAAATGGCTGGAACACAAAAGCTTCTCAACAAATTAAACTTTAAATTGACACCTACCTGATTAGCTTTATTATAAAAAGGGATTTGTCTATTTGAAATCCTAATTTTGCCTAAACTCAATACCCTGCGAAGTTGCGTATTCAGCTAATTAAAAAAAAAATGCCGCTTAGGAAGTTTCAAGGTCAATCTAGGACATTCTGATTATTTGAAATAACTAAAGTTTGGTAATGTCAATGTATGTATTTTACATTTTTGGAATCAGAATTGAAAACTCTATTCATCTATGCAAAAGTCCAATATGCCGTCAATATGAAGAAATAAAGTTGATGTCGGAGAACAAGCGGCGAAACGTCATATCGAAATTCTAATTAAGCCATCTTGTAGAGGAGAAAAAGTGGCAATATTAATGTGCAATTTATCCCACTACAAATGAAGTCAAAAAAAAATAAAACAATTCTGGGAAAATTCGGTTTTTCCGTCTCTCTACGGGAGTACTTGGAATTACGAAACTTTTTAATCGTCGTTTTGTTGATTTGCAACTTGACCCCCACTTAAGCGACTTTGTATCTCCCAAAGGCGAAGATCGAAATGTATAAAAAATAACCAAAACATTTCACGATCATAATGCTTCGGTATGTCAGAAAGAACAACCAATCCCGTGTCGTAGCACTGATTAATATATGAATTTAACTATAGACATGACACAATTTTTTATTTTGCTTCAAGAAGTACTTTGGAACTAACTCATGTGCCAGATTCAAAAAGATACTATTTGTAAAGGGCGCCATAATTAACGCAAGATTTGAATTGGTCCCCGTGTTTGCAGTAAATTGTGGGCAGGTCTGAAAAAAAGAACAATTCGACATATGAGAGGTAAGGGTTAGTACAAATGGAGCGTTATACGATAGAACGAGTTTTAATTATTGTGCGAGGGTGGTCCCAGAAGTACCCGGCCTGACCTAGAGATGGCGATAGTTGTTTGAAATATATCATTGTATTAGAAAGTATGCAACCTATAAAGCATATGTGTCAAGTTTGAAGACGCCCCGTTGTTCAGTATTTGTTTGGCAGCCATCAATACTGAACGTTTTCAGTGAATTTGTGACGACTCCAGAAATGGTGAAGAAAATGCACAAAGTGGTAATGAATGATCGTCGACTGAAAGTGCGCGAGCTAGCAGACATAGTAGGCATTTCAAAAAGTGCTATTCATCGCTTATTATCTGAAAATTTGGACATGAGAAAGCTGTGTGCAAGATGGGTGCCGCGATTGCTCACAATCGAGCAAAAACAGTGTCGTGAAGATGTTTCAATTGAGTGAATTTTTGCGTCGTTTCATAACCATGGATGAAACAGGGTCCATCACTTCACACCCGAGACAAAAGAACAATCAAAACAATGGACTGAAAAGGGACAACCGGCTCCAAACAAGGCGAAGACCGTTTCATCTGCAGGCAACGTTATGGCGCCGGTTTTTTGGGATGCGCGTGGGACAATTTTCATTGACTATCTTGAAAAAGGTAAAACTATGAACTACGCGAACTTATTGCAACGTTTGAGCGATGAAATCAAGCAAAAACGGCCGCATTTGGTTGAGAAGGAAGTGTCGTTTCATCAAGACAATGCATCAGCTCACAAATCCGTTATTGCAATGGCCAAAATTAACGAATTAAAGTTTAAATTGCTACCTGATGCACCCTATTCTTCAGATTTAGCCCCCTCGGATTATTTTTTGTTTCCAAACTTGAAAAAATGGCACAGTGGTCGAAGATTTTCCAACGATGAAGAAGTGATGTCGGCAGTTAATGGCTATTTTGAGGAGCAAGACAGTTCTTATTATAAAAAGGGTATCGAACTTATTGAACATCGCTGGGAAAAGTGTATAGATCTCAAAGGAGATTATGTTGAAAAATTTTTTCACGAAAAATTTTGTATTTTCTTCGTTGGGTCGGGTACTTCTGAGACCACCCTCGTACAGTATTTCAAACATAATGAAAGTTTAGCGTCCGCAGTTCGAAAATTGTATGTGAAATATGGCCAGAATAGTGTTTTAACCTAGTCACCTGGGAAAAGATTAATTGAAAAATTCAGGGAGGCGCTAAACACACCGGTCGTCCAAAAACAAGCATTTTAAATGTTCAGGTGGAAGCAGTGCGTGAGAGTGTTGGTGAAAACCCAGGAACGTCAATTCTACGTCGTGGGCAACGTGTTACTATTTGGAGCCGATTTTGTGCTGAAGGCATTATTTGAAAACGAGGCTGGTGAAGCAGTAAATGTTACTGATGCTCGATATCGCGGCATAACACAGTTGTTTCTACCGAAATTGGATGCTATGGACGTGTCCAATATATGCCCTACAGCCAGTGAAGCAATTCAATTACTGCACGAGACATTTCCTGGTCGTGTACTTTCCCGTTTCGGCCCCCTAGATCGTGTAATTTTAACACCATTAGATTTCTTCTTATGGGGTTATTTAAAATCAAGGGTGTATGTCAACAAGCCCATAGCATTACAAAACGGCGCATCAACGAAATTCAGCCACCATTATGCTAAAAGGTCATGAACAATTTGGACAAAAGAGTGCGTATGTGCCAGCAAAGCCGTGGAGGCCATTTGTCCATTGTGCTATTCGCTACCCTAAATACTTTATGCTTCAATAAAAAATAACAACCTAATGACATAAAACCGTGTTTTATATCTAATTCAAAATTTGCGTTAATTTTGGGACACCCTTTATTTATTAGGTTGTTCGGAGAGTTCTTGTTAAGTATATTTTAAATGATGAATTTTACACTAAAATGTATTTATAATACTTTGACCTTATACAGGGTGTAAAGTTAGTGGTGGATCAACGGAAGTCAGGCTGGCAAACCTATCGAATGAGACCCTATATGTGTGGTCCGAAATTTTATAGTTCAGGAAATATTTGCAATTCTGTGAAATTTCGAAAAAAAAAAACGGTATAATGAACTTTCAATCGCAGTTACAACTAAACCATTGGGTTTAGGGCTGTTATTTTCTTTTGAGATGAGCTAAATGGTTAGTTTTAGCAATAGTTGACACTTTTTAACAGCGCTAATTATAAATCAACGCAAAAAATCCTAAATTAATTTTTTTTGTTAAAAATCTTTCCCATCTCTCAACTTTGGAGGGCGGTATTTCATTATTCATTTTATTTTAAAAACTATTTCAATCCACGTAAAATAAACCATGAAAATGTCAGCTTGCTACGATAAGTGCCTAACCTTAAAAAATCTGTATGTTTGACGGAGATGAGTATCTATACATGTAAACAAAAAATTCTATTTTACGAGCTACAGTCCAAATGACTTGATGGATTTTGACATATGAGGTATTGTTAGATTCGTCCTACCAGTGCGAGTGATTCTGTGTGTATTGACATTTTGTAAAATCAAAATTGCAGATTTTTAACGCAAATAGCCAAATTACGAGGTATGTCTTTTAAGTTTTGCATATAGAAACATAGTAGTCCGCGTGGATCGAATGTCAGTACTGAATCTTAACATCACTCTTTAGTAAACTTAAATTCAAAGTTTCACAACAATACGTGCAGTGTTCTCACTGCAGTGAATTTTTAAGTGTCACCAAGTCATTAGAAAAATGGAACTCAACCGAGAACATTTTCGCGCCATAATTTATTACAACTTTCAGAGACACCTGTTGACTGAAGAGCAGAAAGCAGCCAGGGTTAATTGGTGTTAAAAAACGCTTGACCGCTTCAATTCCGGAAACTCAAAAAATGTGTACAGCATTGTTAGTGGTGATGAATCGCGGATTTACTGTTATGAACCAGAAAATAAACGACAGTCGGCTGTTTGGGTGTTCCAAGTTGAAGAAAAGCCAACAAAAGTCATCCGTTCTCGAAGTGTTTCGAAAAGATGGTCGCGACATTTGTGTCAAAAGCGGAACATATTGTTACAATTCCTCTTAATGAGCAAAGAACTGTTACTGCGGATTGGTATACCACGATTTGTTTGCCAAAAGTCATCACCGAGCTTCGAAAAATCAACCCCGAAAGAAGAATCATCCTCCACCAAGACAATGCAAGCTCGCACACAGCCCAAAAAACAAGGCAGTATTTAACGGAAGAAAACCATCCTCCATATAGTCCCGATCTTAGTCCTAACGATTTCTTCACTTTCCCGAAAATTAAAAACAGATTGCGTGGTCAAAGGCTCCAGTCACCAGAAGAAGCAGTTGACGCATTCAAAAATGCCGTTTTGGATCTGCCAGCAAACGAGTGGAATAAGTGCTTCGAGAATTGGTTCGAGATTTTCTTATTAAAGTTCAAATCAGGTAGAAAAGTTGCCGAGACAGCTCGCGATATCCACGATGTATTTGGCGAAGGAACCACTAACGAACGTACGGCACAATAGTGGTTCAAGAAATTCCGCAGCGGTGACGAGAGCCTTGAAGATCAAATGAGTAGTGGTCGGCCACATGATGAGGACGACGATGAATTAAAGGCCCTGGAGGAAGAAAACTCGCGCACAACTATTCGTGAGCTTGCTGAGGAGCTTAGTGTGGGTATTGCGATCATTTCCGACCACTTGAAACGAATCGGAAAGTAAAAAAGCTCGATGAATGCGAAGATCAGAAAAATCCTCGTTTTGAGGTGGCGTATGCACTTCTTCTACGCAACAAAAACGACCCGACCCGTTTCTCGACTGGATTGTGACATGTGATGAAAAGTGGATTCTCTACGACAATAGGCGACGTTCTGCGCAGTGATTGGACAGCAACGGGCTCCACAACAGAAGGTTATGACGACTGTTTGGTGGTCTGCAGCCGGTCTCATCCACCACAGCTTTCTAAATATGGGAGCACTACGGCGCAGAAGTACTGCCAGCAAATCGACGTAATGCATAAGAAGCTCTGACATATGTCAATGCGAAGGGACCAATTCTCCTCCACGACAACTCTTGGCCACACGTCGCACAACCGACCCTGCAAAAGCTGAACGAATTGGGCTATAAAACTCAGCCTCATACACCATATTCGCCGAACATCTCGCCCACCGACTACAACTTTTTCAAACACCTCGACAGCTTCCTTCGCGAGAAATGCTTTAATAACCATGACGATGCCAAAATGACTTCAATGAGTTCATCGCCTCCAGAACTCCGGATTTCTACGTTCGCGGCATAAATAAACTTGTTTCTCGTCGGCAAAACTGTACTCATTCTAATGGTTTTTATTTTGATTAATAAGGTTTTGTTAAAGCTCTGAATTTGAAAGTTAAACACCGCAAGAGCTTTCCGAACAACCTAATAGTAAGTCACTGAAATAAAACTCGACCTTAGCTGGCACCAACAACAATACTGAGGACCATAAAAGAGCAAGCCCGCTAGGTTCATTTTAAAATAATCCAACTAAAGTTTGCGCAGCGAGAGAAAGCGACGTGCCACTTGATGGCAGCAAGTGTCTCCGCGGTTTCCTCCTGAATGACCGTGCAACTTAACTCCCGTTTCTTTACTAGATAGGTGGCGCCATGGTGATGGTACATTCTCCAATAGTACCGATCGAGTTCTGCAAAAGTCCAATATTTTGCAAGAAGCTGTTCCTGTCGTCCGCCGTCATCGCATCTTCTTGTATTTCGATTTCTGGTTCCATGACCATCGCGTCGTTACCTGGTTCGTTGATGGCCGTGGGTGGTGCGGTGAGGTATCTGAGGCTATCTGATGGTACCACCTCTATCATATGGTTCTCAGCTTTTGGCTGATGTGCCGATTCTGGGAAATGATGCTGGTACTGCTGATGTGCTGGTCCTGGGAAATGATAAATTATTTATGTCGCTGGATGAGAATAGCCTAATAACTCTATTATGTATCCATCGAACAAAGAGACCAAACCTAAACGTATTCACGTATACTCCATGTAATCGCGCTCCAAAAATTATTGCAGGCATGTATAGGGTCCAAACGTAAAGCTTGGAATTAATGTATTTTTTTAATTTAACTGTCATGCCCAAAGAGAAAACAACTGTCTATTGTTGTTTTTAGTAGAAGTGCTTTATCAAGAAATTGTACTCGAAATGTGTCGTGAGGCGCATTTATAAAGCAGGATTTTAAAAAATGTCTTGACACATTAAAACGATAATTGCATATGCATACAAGTATACCTAACCACCGCTTGAACAGGGACGTCAGTGTGCAAACAGTTAATTTTAATATTAAACTAAAAAATGAATAGTTAGGTGAAGAGAAAAAGGATTTGAAGACATAATAATATATATACTAAGTGACATATAAATCCGAACACCCAGTTTAAATGGTTTTATTTTAATAAAATTTTGTATAAGTACTTAATGAAGCATAATAAGTAAATGATAAAAATTTCATAATGATTGCACTGCTTTAAAGCCCTTTGACCTTTAATAATGTGTGGATGCACCCTGATGTGCTACGCATTCTCCAACGCGCCTAGGCATGCTTCTGATCAGGTGGTCAATGTCCTCCTGTGGTATCTCATTCCAGGCAACCACCAACTCCTCTCGAAGTGCTTCTAGAGTCTGAGAAGGACGTTGCAAATTGAGCAATCTCCTACCCATCATATCCCACACGTGCTCAATTGGGGATAAGTCGGGAGATCTTGGTGGCCATGGCAACAATGTGACATCATTATGTTGAAAGAAGTCTATTGTGACTCTTGCAACATGTGGTCGGGCATTATCTTGTTGGAAAGTTGGATCTGCCAGGGTGTCAAGATAGGGTAAAAGATGGGGTTCTAGAACTTCGTGGATATAATGCTGCGCGTTCATGTTACCTCTGATGAAGATTAAAGGTGACCTGGAACCATAAGCTATAGCACCCCAAACCATAACTCCAACATGTCTTTCAACAAAAAACTGTGGATTCCTCCTTTCACCACGTCGCCTTCTAACCCTGGCACGACCATCGTGCATGCCTAAACAAAATCGAGACTCGTCACTAAAGACAATACTGTTCCATTCTTGATCCCAGAGTGACCGTTGTCTGCACCACTCAAGGCGATTACGTCGGTGTTCTCGAGTTAAAGGGAGGACCCAGTGTGGCCGGTATGAAAACAAGCCAAAACTTCTCATTCGTCGGTAAACACTTCGCATGCCAATAGGTCTTCCGTGTTCTGCAAACCATTCATTTGCAATGGACCTGGTAGTGGAGAAACGGTCGCTTAAGGCCAATAATCTTAGGCGGCGATCTTCACGGTCTGTTGTTCTACGGCGGCGTCCACTGAAACTTGCTCTTTGCGTACGGCCTTCTCGAAGCCATGCCTGACAACACCTAACCACAGTGTCTACACTTCTTTGCACTCTAACTGCAATTGCCCGAAAAGAAAGTCCAGCTTCCCGAAGTCCCACTATACGGCCCCTATCAAACTCACTAAGTTGACGAAATCGTACAGGTCTCCGTACTCTAGGCATCGTAACCGATCGTAAAGGATGTCAAGAACCAAAATCCGCCAACGTTGATTCTTTACTGCGGCTGAAATATTCATTTTTAGAGCGTTAGTGAATTAAAAAAAAAGCAGTATAAAAACCGGAATGTCCAACTGGTAAGGCTGAAAATTTTTTCACTTGTTATTTACAGTAAGATAAATACATTCACCAACTTTTATTACAATAAAACCATTTAAACTGGGTGTTCGGATTTATATGTCACTTAGTATACTAATTATACAAAAATTTATTGCACAGACATTTTACCTCTAAAACCGGAAATACATATATTTGAAAATGAAAATCATTCTAGATCTGAGGCCGTGGAGCTCCTACTGTCATCAAGATTTATGATTGAAGGGGCAACGTGAGTATCAATGATACCGTCTAATTCCCACATTTTAGGTTCGACCTTTTCTTTTACATGCTGATACATTTTCCTCTTATTCGGTGTTATTCTTTGTATAGCTTCAGGAAAAATATATTTAAGGTCAGAAAATTAAAAACATTTATTTTCTGCTGCAACAAATGAGCTCAATCGGATTGAGCTCACAATGGTAAGGAGGCAGTCGTAAAACAGTTTTATTTTTGTTTCTTGGCCATTTCATCAATTATGTTCAGGTTATATTTATTTTTATGCGTCGTGACAACTTGTAACAATTCTGCCTTAACTGTTGTATCATCATAACCAATCTTTTTATTTTTAAGCCACCCTTGATTTCTGATTTTTTTTGTGACGTTGTTGAAATTTTCTCTAATTTTCTCGTGCGGAATGAGGCATTATCTAATACTTTAACCGAATTATCTTCAAGCTTCGGTAGAGAAAAATAATACATTTTAAACACTTTAAAACCGCTCCTATTGAAAGCATTAAAAACGCCAGCATGCACGGTTGTATCGTCTCCCACTCCACCCACTGGTCTGTCATTGGTTTTGTGTGAGGGCTCGACCTATTCTGCCCAATCACAGTTATGCTTCCTCTCTCTTGAAATATATCACTGTACTGATCACGCAATAATAATTTTTTTGGTTTAGTCTCTTTCTTCGATACATACATAATAGTACACTTTTCCAAGAAAGTAGGGCACTCTTAAACAATAACCAAAAATATACAGTATTTTGCCAGATCTGCTTGTGCCATTCAGTCGATTTATTTTATGTCCTATTGCGTTGATTATCGTAAGCTCCAAGACGCCCAACCATATACAGTCAAATTCCCTTTCAGGGACACCCCTCTTACACGGACACATCCTTTAAACGTAAAGTTTCTCATGGTCCCGACAGACTCTCATTTAATTTGCACACGCTTTCGATTGAATTTCCATTCAGTATTCGTCTGACGTCTACGAGGGATGTCTTTTAAGTTTTGCATATAGAAACATAGTAGGCCACGCGGATCGAGTTAACTTAAATTCAAAGTTTCACAACAATACGTGCAGTGTTCTCACTACAGTGAATTTTTAAGTGTCACCAAGTCATTAGAAAAATGGAACTCAATCGAGAACATTTTCGCGCCACAATTTATTACAACTTTCAGAGACAATTATCGCAACTAGAATGACTTGCGGAGTTACTGTTTTCGGCAACGAAGCGCCACATCAGTAGACAATTTCCCGTTGGTATGGAGAATTGAAACGTGGACGGGTGAGTCTTAGCGACGAGCCCAGCGTGGGTGCACCAAAAACGGGAGTCACCCAGGAAAACGTCGATGCTGTGCGCAAATTCATCATTGAAGATAGGCATGTGACATATCGCGAGATTGAGGCGTCCTTGAAGATCTCAAAGACCTCAATTCAAAAAATTTTACATGAAGAATTAGGAGTAAGAAAATTAGTTTCTCGTTGGATACCCCACCTGTTGACTGAAGAGCAGAAAGCAGCCAGGGTTAATTGGTGTCAAAAAACGTTTGAACGTTTCAATTCCGGAAACTCAAAAAATGTGTACAGCATTGTTAGTGGTGATGAATCGTGGGTTTACTGTTATGAACCAGAAAATAAACGACATTCGGCTGTTTGGGTGTTCCAACGTGAAGAAAAGCCAACAAAAGTCATCCGTTCTCGAAGTGTTTCGAAAACGATGGTCGCGACATTTGTGTCAAAAGCGGGTCATATTGCAACAATTCCTCTTAATGAGCAAAGAACTGTTACTGCGGATTGGTATACCACCATTTGTTTGCCAAAAGTCATCACCAAACTTCGAAAAAGCAACCCCGAAAGAAGAATCATCCTCCACCAAGACAATGCAAGCTCGCACACAGCCCAAAAAACAAGGCAGTATTTAACGGAAGAAAACGTGGAATTATTGGATCATCCTCCATATAGTCGCGATCTAAGTTCTAACGATTTCTTTACTTTCCCGAAAATTAAAAACAGACTGCGTGGTCAAAGGTTCCAGTCACCAGAAGAAGCAGTGGACGCATTCAAAAATGCCGTTTTGGATCTGCCAGCAAAAGCGTGCTTCGAAAATTGGTTCTAGCGCATGCAGATGTGTATTAATCTTCGTGGAGAATACTTCGAAAAACAATAGTCATTTAAAACTACCTACCGCGTTGTTTTATTTCCATATGCAAAACTTAAAAGACATCCCTCGTATGCGGAAAAGGCACAGTGGGCGACACATTCATTGCAGAAATGACCCCAAACAGAAAAATTCTGACGCTTAAACAAAACATTGAGATTGCTGAAGTTCAGAATAAAGAGAAGTTAAGTGTAAGGAACTTATCCATGCGTTTTAACGTTGGAAAAACACACGCCGCAGATATGATTAAACATAAAGAAATGCTTCTAAAGAAATAGATATCGAACAGCAATTTGAATGAATAAAGAAGATTTTTGACAAATTAGACAAATTATGCATATCAATTCTAAAATAAAAAGAGTGAGATTTTCAATAGGTTGCAGTTCATTTAGCAAAAATCGCTTGGGATCAAGTAACACAAAAAACATTTTGAACACCTGAAAGTTTTTCGAGTATGTCCTAAATGATGAGAAACACGACCATTGATTCCTTAAAAAATTGTATCGAGAACACCACGCTTACTATCCAATTTACTACTACTCTACATACTTGCATTACCGGATAGACGACAGACGGAAATGAGAGACATGTTTGTTTCCGGTATCTCAATCGCGAACTTTTTCGCGATGTAAATATTACCCTAGCCATTTGGCGTGAGGAAGTAGAAACGACGTTCTAAATAAATAGTGTAAATACAGTTGCTGAACCCCCCTGGATGCGCTCTTAACGCGTATATTCAAATCGGGCGAGTAGTTCTGACAAAAATATACTCCACACTTCTGGCTATTTTATTTTTGATGGGGCGTTCTTGGAGAAGTACCGGGTGCGCCATCTTTTATGTCGGTATTGAAACACCGAATGACTGATATTTACCAACCGAGTGATTTGGTTCTACATGTTTCAGAAACGTGAATTTACTACAATTTTAGTCACGAATCGCTTTACACCGAAACATCGCACGGTGTGGCGCCCAATGGACAAAATTACTTAAAAACATAATTTTTGACATTAGAATTCTGTTGCTTTTATTATACCATTGGATAGATAAATAGTCACTGCAACACGTAAGTATAGTACTTTAATCAAGTTGGCTGCGATTTACCTATTTTAGCAACTTTAAAGTTAGACATGTCGAGACCTGTCAAGAAGGCGAAAAATCTCTGTTTTATTGCTCGGGAAAGATATGAATTTTGTGTCGAAATATTTAAATATTTTAACTTTTCCAATATGGCTGGTAATGATGCTGGTAAGTACATTATATTGTTGTATAGATTTATTTAAAATATAATTATAATTAGATAATTTTTTAAGTTAAAGTGACTACCGATTTTTTTAATTTTTTTTAAACTTTTGACTTTGTTTAGAGTTTTACAAAAATCACCTCCCATCACCCTAAAAATTTTTTTATTTATTGTTTATCTGTCCATAGTAAGTTTTGATAAAAAGTTTAAATCACGTCATGCCACGTCTAAGGGAGATATAATTTGTTTTAGGACATGGTGCTATTGTCAGAAATAGAGATTTGATTGATGTGTGGATAGAAGCACCGAGAGGAAATAGAAAACAGGTGGTTTATGAAAAGATACTATCTCTTATTGATATAACAGATGAACCTTCCAAACATCTTAAAAGTAATATTATGAAATGCAGCCAGTTGTTTGGGTTGAAAATGGCAAATAAATGGCAGAAAGTAGGACAATCTCGGAATCGACTTTTACAAAATCAGGTATATTGGTTAGACAAGATTTGTATATAGAATAAATAATGATTCTGAAGAAAACACATCTTCGGATGAGGAACAAGAACCTCCTTGTCGCTCAGTTGGACGGCCACGGGTGCCATTTGAAGAGGCATCGAAGAAAACAAAACGAAGACGTGTAGCCGAACTAACCACAGACAGATCTGCAAATGAACTTCAATTTGCTGTAAATGTCGTTTCTGGAAGCAATCACAGTGAGGTCTCGCCACAAATTTTTAGTTTTAGTACAGCTGAAGCTTTAGCCCTTATGGTAGATTTGGATATATCCGTAACAAAGTATTTGCTACTTAGGTCTGTTATTAATGGTAAGGCCCAGAACTGCCTTCCTAGTTATAAAGAATTACAGAAAACAAAAAATGCTATCCTCCCTTCACAATTTATTATTACTGAAATTTCTGCAGAAGTTGATTTGCAAGAACTTGTACAGAAAACAGCTGAAAGTATCCTTGAAATAATAAATTTTGAAGAGAGAGATTGCCGGATTAAAGTGATATGCAAGTGGGGATTTGATGGCAGTTCTCGGCATAGCCAATATAAGCAGAAATTTTCTGATTTAGAAAACACCGACGAATTTCTGTTTCTTGTAGCAATGACGCCACTCAGATTGATTGATATGGAAACGAATAAGGTATTGTGGAAAAATGAGAGCCCTTCATCTACTTTATATTGTAGGCCGATCAAGTTTTTATTTAAAAAGGAAAATGCTGATTTAGTGCGGAATACGGAAGAGGAAATAATAACAAAAATTGAAAATTTGATTCCTATTGAGATTAAAACAAAAGAAGGGCACTCTTATATAATTGAAGTTGATATGATGTTAACAATGTTGGACGGCAGTGTTGGAAACGTTCTATCAGAGACAAATTCAACTATGAAGTGCATCATTTGCGGAGCCACACCCAAGGATATGATCACGTTAGCAGGGATTAACCGTCCTCCCAACGTAGACAATTACCGGTTTGGTTTGTCAACTTTACACTGCTGGATTCGTTTTTTTGAATGCTTACTCCATATTGGATACCGCCTGCCAATTAAATCTTGGCAGATTCGTGGGCCTGAAAACAAAGCTATAGTCGAAGCAAACAAAAAACGAATCCAAGCAGAGTTCAGAGCCAATCTGTCTCTAATAGTTGACAAACCAAAACCCGGGTATGGCTCCTCAAATGATGGCAATACGGCCAGAATTTTTTTCCACAATCCACAAACAAGTTCAGATATCACAGGGGTTGACAGGGAATTAATCGAGAAATTTGCGATCATCTTAGGAGTGTTAGCTAGTGGTTGCGCTATTGATATGGAAAAGTTTGCGTCATTGGAAGAAGCAAGAAATTTGTATATCCACCTTTATAAGTGGTACAACATGCCAAACACGGTACATAAGGTCCTTGTTCATGGGTGTGAGATAATTGATGCATTTTGTTTGCCCATTGGAGAACTGTCGGAGGATGCGCTTGAGGCTCGCTATAAAGAGGTTAGGAAACATCGATTATCTGACACCAGAAAATGTGCAAGAACAGATACGAATAAGGATCTCATGCGTGTTCTTTTACTTACTTCTGATCCTTTTATAACCTCAAAAAGAAAGGTGAGCTCAAAAAAATATAAGAAATGCAACGAGGCAGTTCAGAACTATTTAAAAAGGCAAGAAAATGATGATTTAGGTATTGACTTAGGTACAATAACGAATGACACAGCACCGAGCAAGAAATCCTATTCCGATTAGAAGATTTTTTTAATATAGTTTATATTATTATTTCATACATTATCTACTAAGTAATTGTTATTTTGTTAAATATATTTTTTTAAAATAAAAACCGAAATATCAATTTCAAATTATACAGATTTATTTTTTATTTGAATTATTCTTATTATTTTTTCAAATAGATAGACAAATTTAATAAATCATATTGCGCCCGCCACAAGTTGGCTACATTATCTTTTAAATCATTCGGTAAAGATTTTGAAAAATAAAAGCGTGACTTTTTTGTCTCTTTTAAGAATGCTATAATAATATCCTACCTTATCCCAATTTATTCGAGATCAGCAACTTAATATTTTGACTTTTACAAAAAAAAAAAAACGATTTATGCGAAATGCATCCCATAGGCACAATCTGTCGTTTGGTTCCGAATTTTCTTCAGTACGAGTCAATGGGGGATTGTCAACATACCGATCGTCAACGACCGAGACTTTTCAATGAATTGGTTGAAGCGGTCAGAGACAGCGTTGCCCAGAACCCAAAAGTGTCGTATCGTCACCGCGCTCAGCATTTTGGCATCAGTGGAACCACGTTGCGGCGCATTTTGAAGGATGATTTGCATTTGTTTCCTTATAAGGTGCAGTTAACACCAAAAATATTGCCAATTGACCGTCCACGTCGCTTGGTATACGCCCAAGGTATGCCATGCCACAATGCAAATGAAACAATCCAGTTTCGGCAACAAACATTCCCTGGACGTATGATGTCAAAAAGGAGTGACATGGACTGGCCACCCAGGTCTCCAGATTTGACCCCACCGGACTTCTTCTTGTGGAGTTATTTGAAAAGTCAAGTGAACGCCAGCAAGCCCCAGACCACTGAAGAACTCAAGGCAAACATTCGTGCCGCAATCGCCACTAGAGATGCTCGAAAAGGTAATGGAAACGCAGCAAAACGGGCACATTTTGTTTTGGCCAATAAAGGTGGCCACTTGATAGATGTTGTGTTCAAAAACTAGTCCCAATAAATTGTAAAGGACCATATTTAATAAAAATACCCGATAAAGTGATTTCATGTTTACATACCGACATAAAAGATGGCGCACCCTGTACATTCATATTTATGATATAATCAGCTAATAGAAATGACATATTTTGCGATGAAAGTATGTACGATTATCGTACGTACCAGGGACGATCGGTTTGAGCCTCGGTCTTCCTCTTGGTTTGATGCCTTTCTCAACTGTAACAAAAATACTTGGCTACCAGGAGGTATTCATGTGCCCTGAGTCTCAACTAAAGGCAGCATCGCCTCTCTAAAACTAATTCTATTCCGTAAGCAATATTCAACCTTTATGAATATATCACATTCGTTATAATCATTCAAAGCATGCATTATATTCGATACATGCGCAAGCCCTTGTGAGTTCACGAACCAGTTCCACTTTCACCGATTTGCAAAATACAAGCTTTTGTCTCCCTATGTCCTTGACCTACATAAAAAAACACCCACATCTATGTCTGTACATAGAAAAGCGATTATAGATATTATTCACGTTAAATAGTCAATATGAATTACCTTTAGGATGGATCCTAGGTCGACCTCGTTTTTTCTTTTCCTTTTTGATCTCCGGCAATAATCCCACTGAAGCGGAATACAAATTAGAAAACTAAATAGATACAAAACAGCATTCGAAAAAGTGCAATATTACCTGGATTTTTAGGTGGCCTTCCCCTTTTTTTCTTGACTGGTGGATTTCCCTCAATTGTGAATGGAACTGAAAATTATAAAAATCATACACCCGAAACAAAGTACGAATCATGTATAAACAATTTATATTTTCAGCACAAGAACCTATATATATATATATATATATATATATATATATATATATATATATCTACTGTTACACTGAATAATCCATACAAGTTTGATCCCATAGTTCTGAAACACCCTGTATACGACGATAATTGCCACATCATATGGTGTAGCGATAATAATAAATTGCTACAAAATTGCTTGAAAATTCGGCATCATAACATTCCACGATATTAAAATTATATCCATTGTATTATGCATTAAATAAGTTCAAATGACCAAGCTGATTGATCAAGATCTTAAGTGCATACAAAATGTTTCCATTCTCTCTTCTACAATCAACCTAATTGACACAAACAACTTGCTAACACTTTAAGCTGCTGGGGTCGCGATTATTCTATCAATTGAAGAAATAAATTTTCCTATGAAATTCACTTGGCATACGGACATGCTCTTATAGAGTTTGTTTACCAATTACCAAAGAGCAAGTAAGTAGTTGTAAGAGAGTATAGGTACGAAATTGCAAATTTCATAATAAATAGTAAATAAACTGGACAGCATAACTATAGTGTCATCAACTTTGTTGGTGGGGCTATAGTATATTTTCCAAAATTTAATTAACCCTAAATAATAGGAGATTTGTCATCAAGGATTCAACCATATACCTGAAGCATAAGAAATACCGGGTATCGATAAAAATTGATGACATTTTCCAATTTTATAGATACTTTGAATAATTTACAATAAGAAAAAATTACCCATAGGTTTTCTGACTCTGCCCACTCTTTTCGCCACGTAAATGTCCCCACTATCTTCATCTGACATCGATGATGTAGATCCTATGCTATCGCAACGTTCTTCCTCATTTGCCGGATCACCCGTTAGGATTTGGACATGATCGACTGCCTGCGGGTTGAACGAGATTTTTTAATAAAGAAAAATCTCAGTGCCAAGCAGAGTTCGAATGGTATGAATCGTTCTTTTTAAAACACTCATAAAAGTTTTCGGAATAAATACAATAGTTGCTATTTCCTCTCAATGTTATTGCAGCTCCTGATGAAGATGGCAAAGTCCATTGAAAGCTAGAGATTAATAAAGTATAAAGAGTTCTCTTTGCTTGAATTTTGACGAAGTACCCAACAAAAGGCAGAAGCTTTATTTTTCATATACGAGTATGTCAGTTGAAGTTTTTCTATTGATTATTCGAAAAATTGTTCTTTAAGACATTTTTGTTAAGATGCTACAAAGTAAAAGAGCATCATGAACACCTAGCGCTTTGTCTCGCGCACGAAGTTCTTCGTAAACCTGTATACATAATTCGTTATAGCATAATAGTCACTTATACATAAACAAAAAAAGTGGAACTATGAAGGACAAAAATATATAGGCAAAGCAAAACAATTATAGAAAAAAGAAGCACAGTTCATTGAATTATAGAAAACTGTACTTGAAAAGAACTTGTCTACATATTTTTGTCCCTCATAAAAAACTGCTTATATTCAGACTTGTATTGTGTTCATTGCAGATAATGTAATAACAAGGAATTTAGTATTTCTACTAATAACGCATTTGTTTATGGAGCAATGAAGTATGAATTCGTTTTCTAAAGGTATTTAGGTAAATATTCATATTTGTCTATATACTTTTGTCCATTACTGTACATCAATCGCGATCATCGTCTGCTCGACTTCCGACAGGGTTTTCATGTTGTTATTATAGTCGACAATTCCATATTACCAAATTGATGTTTTACGAATTCCTTGTCTGTTGTCAGTCAGTGTAGAAATTTTACATTGTGCCATATTCATAGTCCTACTCCTGTTTGTCCATCTAAATATACGTTTCTTAGTTCTTACTAGTTTCAGATCATATAGTTTTTTTAAAATTTTTGAAATCTGGCAACTGCTATCTTTGTATGGAAAGTAGAACTACTCAGGTGTCGGATGCTTGGAAAATGAAATCTTCCACTAAAACGCTTATCGAGAAGCTTTGTATTCGTACCAGTTTGCAAAATAATGGTAAATTTATTTGAACCGCTACTAACAATATTGCGGGTACAAGGCGAGAGTGTAACTTTTAAGGTATTATACTTACATATAAAGCTTCTGGGGGGAGACACACATCCTTCGGTGTATGCATTTTCTTGATGTGCGTTTTTAATTTATCATGTCTGGAAAATGTTTTGTGACACATGTCACACTCGTGGGGTTTTTCCCCTGAATGCACCAGCTGGTGTCTCGCTAAGTGAGACGCTCGTTTGAAACTAAAAGTGCAAAGAAAAATCAGAAACAGTAAAATAAAAGAGCCTTCCATGTAGCTATGCTAATATACAGGAGAATCATCAACATCGGATGGTACTGTATATACACTGCAAATTCATATATACAGGGTGGGAAAAACACTCGAACGTCAATTTTGATTTCTAAGGGCACGCCTTTTCATCTATAGCCATACAATACAGGGTAATACAAAAATAAGATATTGAGTTTTACTTTAGATTTTTAAATGGAATCCCCCCATGTTTTTTTAATTTCTAGACTTTCCATGAAGTTTTCAGTAACTTTTGTGTAATAAAGTTTATACCTATCTCCAATCGTTGTGAAGCTATTTGAGTTTATAATAAAATTCTACTAAATTAACTAAATAGATAGAAAAAAACTTTGTCTTTCATTTCAAATTTTTAAGTTGCCTACCGAGTTGTGATAAATATTGAACAATGACTTATTGAATTCAAGAAAGGGTATAAATAACAAAACTACATTACCAAAATGGGGGCATTGCAGGAGCTACTGACTGATTGTTTAATGTGTTACATCCAAACAAAAATATTAACGATAAGTATGAGGATTAGTTGATAAGAAAATTTGAAGACACTGGATTTGTGTCTAATCACGAAATTTAGTTTCTTTTACCTGTTTTTTTTTGTAAGTTTTATAAAAATGCCATTTTTATTCTCCAATCAAGATTTAGGGGATATTCATTTTGTGTATGGCTTTGTAAATAGAAACGCTGCAGAAGCAGCCAGAGAATACGCACGAAGATTTCCAAACAGACACCCAACTCGCTCAGTGTTTGTAAGAGTGCATCGCCAAATAATTGAAAATGGTTTTGGAAATCTCCAAAGGGATCAAAACATAAATGTTCGTCAGCGCAGATTTACCCGTATGATTCTGCGTGAGTTTGATAGAGATACGACCACAAGTGTTAGGAGAGTTTTTAGTGCCTTGGGAATTTCAGCAAGCCATGTTCACCGTGTTCTTAGAAATGACCACATGTTGTCAGTGGATTCTTGATAGAACTGATAATAATAGGGAGTTTTTAAGTAACGTTTTATGGACCGATGAGTCATGCTTCACTAGACGTGGAGTGGTAAATTTTCCGCATGCAGTTCGGGAAATTAATTTTCAGCATGAATTTAGTGTGAACGTGTGGATTGGTATCTACCGTAATCGACTATTCGGACCCTACCTTTTGCCTGCAAGGTTAAATGCTGCGACCTTCTTGGAATTTTTAAAGGCTGGACATGTAAATATGTGGGATGATGTTATGTTAGATTTAAGAAGATTGGCCTGGTTCCAGCTTGATGGTTGTCCAGCTCATTATTCAAGAATAGAGACTGGCTGGACGAAAATTATCCAGAAAGATGGATCGGCCGTGGAGGACCAGTCGCCTGGCCTCCACGATTCCCTGACCTAAATCCATTAGATTTCTTTGTGTGGGGATTTCTAAAAGAAAAAGTGTACCAGACTCCCGTAACCACAAGAGATATGCTAATAGACAGAATCAGGAATGCATATGATGAAATAAGCCCTTATTTGAATAATGCTATACCACGTTCGATCATTCGTAGATGTGAATTGTGTATTGAACAATTGAGTTTACATTTCGAGCAACTACTTTAGATTTTGTATGTTTGTCCTAACTATCCAATAGCATTTTAGTTGTAAATAATTAATTTAATTTGTTAAAAATAATATTGGAAAATTAAACAAATTAATATTGTTTTTTTGTGTTTATTTGGAGTTAGGAATGATTGCTGTGTTTAAAAACACAATCCAAACGATCATCTTAATTACTTGTAATGCCCAAATCGAAATTGTAAAAAAAAATATTATTTTCCTATTAAATAATTAAAAATGCATCGAACCTTGAAAATCGAAATATCTCAAAAATGGTTAACTATAACGAAAACTCACGGGAAAGCTTTTTTATGTTGAAAAGTGCGAAGAATAATTTTTTTTATTCAAAAAGAAAAAAATTGCGCTAAGAAAAATTTTTAGGTCATTTTAATACACTACAGGTACAGTAGAGAGCGCCCTCTAGCGGCTACAGTACCAAAAAAACATTGTATACCAATTTTCACTGTTATACATCAAATATTGTTCGAAATATTTAAAAAAAACTATTTTAGAAAGTAAATTTAAACACCCTGTATTTCGGAAGCCACGCATTTTTCGACCCATGTTTATATAGACTTTATGCATTAATTTTAAAAGTTCTATCGAATCTTAAAGTTATGCAACAATAAACTGAAACACCCTGTGTATTGGAAACTTGTTTATACATATTTAAAAATAGAGAGAAATTCCCAACACGGCCAAATGCATTCAATTAATACGAGGATTAGAGAAGACTTTTATATACCATCCTATAGAACTCAAATTACGTGTAAGTCACCAAATATTAATGACCTAAAAATGTTTAACCTACTTCCTTTGGAATCCACAGTCTAAAGACATTTAAGAATCGTTTAAAAGACTATTTGATTGAAAATAGCTTTTATTGAGTGGGAGAATATCGTGATATATGCAGTTAAATCTTATTTTTTACTATTTGATTATTTTTTGTTAGATATAGGTTTTTTTTCAGATTTGAAAATGTACGACAATTCCTAGACAGTGTTTCTTGTCTAGAGGAAATAAATAAATAGCAGTTTTGGGTCACGTAGCACTTGTCAACACCCAAAGCACTCGTGGACTGGCTACTTCTTCAGGATTTACATGCTCAACAATACAAAGAATTTTGAAACACAAGATAAAACTTGTCCATGAGCTTAATGAAGACGGTTTTGATACAAGGTTGGAATTTTGAAAATTAATGTCCCAACGTTTAATCAACAATGCAAATCTGTTATTTAATATTTGTTTTTCGGATGTGTGTACGTTCTATTTACATGTTACTGTAAATAGACCTAATTGTCGATATTGGAGTGACTCGAATCCACATTTGTTTCGATAGGTACACTCGCAAGATCCTGAAAAAATATATCAGCAGGTCGTCATTTTCGGAAATCATATTGTCGGACCTTTGTTTATTCCTGGACGGGCGAGACGTACTTGGACATGTTAGAAAATACAATAGAGCCAAGATGGTGCACCACCGCCCCATGTGCCTCCAGTACGACACCCATTTCTCGAATCAGTGCATCGGCAGGCAGATTACTTTCTTTGGGGGCATTTGAAAAGTAAAGTTTTTAGTACGAAGCCCGATTCATTCAAGATCTTCGTCAGCGGATTACGGCTGAATGTAGACAAATAACTTAAGAGATGCTTGAAAATGTGAGGAATAGATTCGAACAAAATATTTATTATTTGCATGGAGGTAAATGGACACCATTTTCAGCACTTATTACCACATTGACTAACCTCTTCATATTAAATTAAAAAAGTGAATTATATTATGGCCCACCCTGTATATATGGAATATTTTATTTAATATCATACCGTCTAGGGCATTCTAAGCAAATGAATTTCCTTTCCATCTTTTGCCAAGGTGTGAGTTCTTGACTGGCAACGTCTTTATCAGGCCCAGGAGTAGTGCCACCATCACTCACAGTTAAATCAGTCTCATCTTCCGACTCAGTACTTAATTTCATCGGTCCTGATTCTACATCAACTGAAACTACGTCAAAAAAGGGCATCAAGTAGGTTGACTCTACATTTTCCTCCGCATAATATGTGTAATGTGTATTTGTACTATTGATGATATAATATATTAGAGTTCTTCATACAACATGTCCCACAAAATTTCCTGAGTGAAATAAAGTAGTCAAAATATATACAGTGGAATCCACTTATAATGAGCTTGTCTATAATGGAAACCCGTATATAATGGACACAATTTAAGGTCCTATAAATAATTGCATGTAAAATACTCGGACATTATAGACTCGCTTAAAATAGACCATCGCTTATAGCTGACTATTTTAATCCATTATATGCGAGCATTTACGGCGGTTTGGCTTCAAGTGTTATACTGTATTTATTAGAGTTATAAACATGGCGAAACGTGCATTCAATTTACACGAAAAGTTCACAATAATTAGTGAGCTTGAGCAGGGTTCATCTCAAGCAAATATATGTGCTCGTGTGGCTATAAAAAAAATCCACTGTGTCAAATATTTGGAAAAACCGTGACAAAATTAAAAATGACGAAGTCAAATAGTCAAGAAGAAAAAAATGCGGCTATCGCTGCATCCCCAAGTCGATGATATGCTGTTTAAATGGTATCAACAAAAGCGTGCTAATAATTTTCCAATAAGTGGACCTATGCTACAAATAAATGCTGAGGAATTTGGGAAATTGATTGGAGATTACTTCAAATGTAGTTCCGATTGGCTAGATAGGTTTAAGAAAAGACATAACATTGTTTTTGGAAAAATGTGTGGTGAGTCAGCTTCAGTTGACAAGAATGTTACCAATGACTGGTTTTCTCAAGTTTGGCCCATAATATCCAGTGATTATTCAGATGATAACATATTCAATTCAGATGAAACCAGGATATTTTATAGAATGCTACCAGATAAAACTCATAAATTAAAAGGTGAAACTTGCAATGGAGGGAAACTATCAAAAGAGCGAATAACTGTTATGATTTGTGCTAATGCTTCTGGTACTGAAAAACGGAAAGGTAAGTGAATGAATAGAAATTCATGTTCTAATTTTTTTGATATTCAATGACAGTTCTGCAAATAATTTATGTGTGTTTCAAAAATATTAAAACAATTCCCGTCGATTATGTTGGAAATAATAAATCTTGGAGGACTTCATCAATTTTTAAAGAATATTTAAAAAAGTGGGACGCTGAACTTGTTAAGAAAAATCGTAAAATTTTGCTCTTGGTCGATAACTGCCCCGCTCATCCAAATGTTTCACTTAATAACATCAACATTCAATTTTTTCCATCCAATGTGACATCAGTCCTGCAATCAATGGACCGGGGTGTCATTTGGAGTCTTAAACAAATGTATCGGAAACATATGTTGATTAACATTATGGAGCTTCAAGAATATCTTAACATTACCAAAGCTGTCACCATTTTAGATGATAGAAATAGTCAACGATTTTAATCCAGAAGATGAAATTCCATTCAGTGATTTACTGAAAATTAATAGTTTACTGAATATAGATGAATTTAATGAGTATGTAAATGTTGACAATAATTTAATAGCAACACAGGAGTTGTCAGACTCCAATTTGGTTAATGAAAGATCCGTTGATAAAGAACAGGAAGACGAACTAGAAAACAACGATGAAGAAGAGCTGCCAGTGACAACTAAGGAGGCATTAGACAGCAAGAAGAAGACAGTACAGCCACAGTTACCAAATTAAATAAAATTCAAATTGCTGTTCTAAATAATTATACAAAATTTCAAAATTACGTATAACTTTTTTGTATGTATCTTTATTTATGTAATACATACATGTCAAACAAACACATTTTAAGCTTTTAATATGTTATTCCTGCTGATTTTTTCATTAAAAAAAGTGTTTTTTTAAGATGTCATCCGTCTATAATTAGACTATTTGTTACAGTCCCGCCGAGTCCATTATAAGCGGGTTGCACTGTTTATAGATAGAATGAAACTATCTTGCTCGATTATTATTCATTCTCTGATTTTAATATTCATCATACTAAGTTACCAAGATATGTTCAACTACAGTCTGCATTACCAAGATCTTCTAGGAAAATAGGTGTATTTTGACCAGCTAAAACTCAAATTTCTTGGAATAAATGCAGCTTTGTCCAACCGAAAATGTTCTTAGTTGGGAAGATACGAAATCAAGTGTGCATATGAATACTGTCCTTAAATTCAAATTCAACAAAGGTAAACTTAAGCTGAAAACATTGCCTACAGGCAATTGTTAAAAAAATATGTACATGCATCAAATTGTTTTAGCAAGTTTAATTATTTTTTCTTTAATGTTGAAAAACTTCTTGTACAAATCATCTCAGGAACAAAGTGGATGATTAAATTTTTTGTAAAACTATGTGTCAATCCAATACCTATATGTTGTATGTCATATAAATTTTCAAGACATTTTCATAAATTTACCAGCCAAAAAGAGGATAGTGTGGTACCAAAACAACAAGTAAGCATATGCAAATCAAATACCATCGTCTGTCTTCTCTCCTGTGGCATTATGTTCAGTGGTATCTCCACTTGTATCAGCAACTGTTGTATTTTGGATTCCAGTTCCTGATTGACCTTCAGTATCTGCATTATGAAGTTGACTGCTGTCTGGAGCACCTGATTTTTTTGCTTCTGCATTAGTTACAGGTGCACTGTTTACTCTAGAATGTGTTCTGCTTTTGCTATATTTTTCTTTCTAAAACAAAAATATTCCATGTAAACACTCTGTTTTTAATCTGGTTTTTGTAGCCATTTATCTTATTCATAAGCATGGATAAAAATAATTCAATGGTAAATACAACCATAATAGGGGATTAGGGAATAAAGTGGGATAACATACAAATATGCGGCCGATTAATGTCTTGCCCGATGTCGAGAAGCTGTTCGAAGGGATAATATAGGAACAAATCATAGAATTCAATGAAGAAAAAATTTTGATAAAAAATCAAGCTGGATTTAGAAAAAAATGTTCCACAGAAACGGCAATCCAAATGGTGGTGGAAGACTGGAGAAGAAGGATAGATGAGAAAGAATATATTGCAACAATATTTTTAAACTTCAAAAGGGCATTTGAGACTACAGATAGGGAAAATTGTTAATGAAATTGCATCACTATGGCTTTAAAGGATCAGTATTACACATTTTACAAAGTTATTTAGTAAATAGAAGTCAAAAAACTAAAGTTGGAAATATTATGTCAAGTGTTCAAAATATATCAGTAGGGGTGCCACAGAGGAGTAAATTAGGGCCATTACTATTTATTATTCATATAAATGATATCTCTAACATTTTAGAACACTGCAAAATTCAAATGTTTGCGGACAATATACTTATATATACATATAGCACATAAGCAGTTGGACACTGCTTTAGAACTGTTAAATAGTGATATTGAAAAAATTATGAATTGGTTAAATGTCAATAAACTTAAATTAAACACTAATAAAACAAAATTTATGTCAATAGGGAAACATTTATTATTAATGATGAAAAAATTGAAGTAGTCGAGTCATTTAAATATCTTGGTATATATGTGGATATAGAAGTCAAAAAAAAGTTGGAAATATTATGCCAAGTGTTCAAAATATATCAGTAGGGGTGCCACAGGGAAGTAAATTAGGGCTGTTGCTATTTATTATTTACATAAATGATTTCTCCGACATTTTAGAACTGTTAAATAGTGATACTGAAATAATTATGCATTGGGTAAATGTCAATAAACTTAAATTAAACACTGATAAAACAAAATGTATATCAATAGGGAAACATTTATCTGACAATACAATTAGACTCATGATTAATGATGAAAAAATTGAAGTTAGTCGAGTCATTTAAATATCTTGGTATATATTATGTGGATAGTAAGCTACTGTTTTACAAACATTAGGAATACATTATTTCAAAAATATCCAAAAAAATAAATTACTTCTATAGAGTTTCCCATAATCTTAGTATGTATTACAAAAAAGTTGTGTATAACACTATAATTCTTCCCCATTTTTTATATTGTTCAACCATCTTATTTACAGCAAATGAAAACATATTTTCAAAATTACAAATTCTACAAAATAAAGCTATGAGAATCATTTTAAATAAAAACAAATATTCTAGGATAAAGTCTATGTTAGAAGAACTGCAGTGGTTGGATGTGAAAAATTTCATATATTATTTAGTTCTCGTTTTCATATCCAAATTAAAAAATCATCTATTACCACCACATTTAGAGAACTTTACAAAATTAGATAGTCATTATCATAACTATGAAACTAGAGGCCGAATTTATAAATTGAATAAAGATATTAAACAGAGTTCGAATTTAAAAATGTTTAAGGTGAAATTAAAGAATCACTTTATGACTAATCAAAATGCCTAGTGACGTAATTTTAATTTTGATAGACAAGAATGTAAAATTACAGAAAATGGATTGAAGAAAAATATGTAACCGAATCATACAAAATTGCTATTGTAGCATTAATGCTAAATCTTCAACAACAACAAAAAAGTGGTGAGTGTTTGCACCACATATTTGCACTTATTTGTAAGCTAAGACTGGTTTACCTTTTATCCCTAGCATATTTTCTAGTGCATTTTCAATTTCATTCTTCTATCTGCTATATTCGTTTAACTAATCTCAGTTAATCAAGCAAACTTTCAAGTACTGATATTCTATGGCAAATCATACACAGGACCGCATTCAAGGGGGGGTCTTCTATTTAACACTTTTTTCAGCGAGGGTTTCTTTAAAAAGATTTTAGTATCTTCAAAACCGTCAACTGGTATGAACTAAAATTTTGTATGTGGATTTACCACACTATTGTCACATTCAAGTCTTTACTTAAAATTAACGTGCGCCAGTGGCGGAGATACAGCGGATTAAAAGGCATTATTTTTCCAGATAAAACATTGCATTTTATCGCCAGGTTGCAGACATTGCACATTTGCTGATGGTAAGGATGTAAAACTTCCCTATTTAAAATTCTCCACACAAGACTTTGGGAACATGGTACCTGAGCTGCAATCTGCCTTGAACTTGTACTATGATCATCCAATGCCAAATCAATCACTTCCAGTTCCTCTTGAACAGTATGCCAGACACCATGGCCTCTAACTTAGGGACGATTGGCACTGGTACATGTTAATTTTAAGTAAAGACTTATGAATGTGGACAATACTTAGGTAAATCCACATTCCAAGTTTTAGTTCATTACAGTTGACAGTTTTGAAGATTTAAAAAAAAATGGTTTTTATTTTTAAACACCCTGTATCTTTTTAACGAAGCCCTCAAGGAACAAATCTTACACAGAAGACCCTTAGAGTAAGGTCTTGCATATGATCTTTCAGTTTTGGTTACGACTTTTGAATTATCCTATATATAAATGTGAATTTCAATCAGCATCATGCCTGAATCACAATACAGAGAGACATAAAAAAGTACCTTATTAGTGGTGAGAAATGTTCCACAGGTGAGAAACTAGTTTTATCAACAAAAACTCAAAATAAAATGCCTACTTATGGCATCAAGTAATTTAAAAGGATATAGTATGAAGTATGCTGGGTACTGTTGCATCTTGTAGAACTTCGGATTTCACTGTTTTTTCACTTGAAATTTATAGGGTAGTCTGATAAATTATTTTACATCATAAAAAGTGTGGCTGAAGCACGCTTTTCATGAAATTTTTTTCCCAAAATACTGTATTTTTTAGCAGTTATTTCCCCCATTATTTCCACCTCCATCTACCATATGACGCTGACGTCTGTGGAGGTGTCATATATGAGAGGCGCTTGCCTGCAGTGTTGCCGGATTGGGCTCCGTATTTAGGGAAAAATATGAAAAGTGGAAAATTCATATACACTTATATTAATGAAACACAAAAACAAAAAACTGAAACAAACAAACAGTAGTAAAATTAAAAGTGATTCTTACTAAGTATAAAACAAAAAATAACAAACAGCAGTAAAATAAAAAGCAATTCTAAGTGATTATAAAAAACCAAAAATTAAAACAGTAGTAAAACAAAAAACAATTCCATTTAATTATAAAAAAACAAAAAATAAAAACAGTAAATAAAAAGCAATTTGGATGGAATAAAATTGTTCCTCGTTTTACTACTGTTTTTACTTTTTGTTTTGTGTTGTCACTTAGAATTGCTTTTTATTCAACATGGAACTGTTTTTTTTTTGTTTTACTACTGTTTTTATTTTTTGTTTTTTATAATCACTTAGAATTGGTTTTTATTTTACTGCTGTTTGTTATTTTTTGATTTTTATAATTACATGGAATTAGTTTTTGTTTTACTACTGTTTTTATTTTTTGTTTTTTATAGTTGTAATTTATCATTTTTTAGCTTACTACTGTTATTTTTTGATTTATACTTATTAGGAATCGCCTTTTATTTTGCTACTGTTGTTTGTTTCAGTTTTTCGTTTTTGTCATTTTGTGAAAAGCGTGCTTCATCCACACTTTTTTTGTTTCTAAATAATCTATCAGACTACCGTCTAAAAGATTTAAGAGAAAAAACAGTGAAATCTGAAGTTCTACAAGACGCAACAGCACCCTATGCTGAACATGTTTAGATTTTATTGGCAGAAAATCGAAATCCCATTTGGGCGAGTAGATATTTACTCTATATTCACCCACAGTCAGGTACAGAGAGCACAATTTACACAGAGAACAACATCAACTATTCCTGCACTGAGGCTATCTAAACACTGTGTAAACAAGCTTAAGTTCAAATTACTCTTGAACTTGAAATTTGGAAAAGAGAAAATTTGATATTTCCACTTTGTTTGAGTAAATAATACGAAATTAAGGTAAAGTGATAGCCTTGGGCGTCGAAATGTAGTGTGTATTGTTGTGTATAATAGAGCCTTGTTTACTTTTTATGGGAAAAAGTCTGTATTGATATACCCTCGCTCACCTCTTTCTTTCTAGACGTATCCACCATCAAACCAGTGATCTCCAAACTCTCAACAAAATCATAAACAGCATTGAAATTCCTGCCAGGTACCTCGATAGTACCTTTATAAATTAACTCTATCAGATACTGCAGCTGGTCTATCGCTATTCCGTACATGTATACAGAAGAATTTTGATCGCTATCCAGGAAAATTTTTCGGAAATGCGGGCTCACCGCTGCTAAAACCAGCTTGTGCACCCTGATGGACCCGTTTCTGCACCATAATGTACAGTCTGTCAGTAAATCGTTCTGCAGCAGAGATTTGAATGTTTTTTCAAGATTTTGCAGGTGGCCATCGGTACATATTCGTATTTTTCGTTTCATTTTTGCACTTTGTTTTCGTTCGTTTACACTGGACGCCGAAAGACAGAACTTGAAAGTGAGGTTATGTGGATTTTCAGAGCAACATAGTACAGTGATTGTAGAAGACTAGAGAAAATAATTCTGCACTATAGTTTATTCACCGAATCACAGCAGTTACGTCACAACGTCAAATAATGACAGAAACGCACATGGTTGCCACATAAATTAAAACTACTAGATCCTAGGACGTTTTACAAAATCTACGTTAAGTCTTCGATGGCGTACCGCAACCAACGTATGTATTGTAAACGCTAGAGCTCCATGATCTCGTTCGGTTTCAAAATATTTCGTCAAAGAAATGACGAATTATTTTGCTTGTCGACCCAGAGGTTTCGGCATTTTAGCAAAATGCTTAAAAGGACACCTCAAAGTTTAGAAGAAAACGTTTTTTATAAGATAACCATGCAAATATTGATTCAAAAAGAATGAAAACAAGCTTTGCGAAAATATCACAACACAGAAATCTGTTACCAACATAAATGTACCCGGGAAATTCAAACTATACGTACCAATTTATGATCTATTTTGCATTAAGATTGGCGTTCAAATTTACTAAATATGACGTAACTGCTTTGTTTTAGGGAATAAACTGTATAACCTATTTTACAGTGGGTAACTCGTACAAAAATACGTGATGACTTTTGTAATTTTGAAGTAAGACGCGAATATTATTTCGTTATCAAAAGCAGCATTTAGGATACTAACTTGTTTTGGGAATTTTTTAGGGTGGTTCTTACAAACTAATGCTATATTCCCGACGTCCAACAAAATAAACCGAGATAAAATGCGATACTGTAGCGTTATCTCTGAGCATTGTCACAGCTGTTTCTCTGTTCACTATATATATATAATTTGGAAAAGTTAGTGTCTCATAGATGGCGCTGTAGCCAAATATATGAGCATATACGCGCATATAGGTGGCTACAGTGCCATCTATGAGACCTTTTCAAAGTATATATGGTAAATAGGCAAACAGGTGTGACCAATTCTCATAGATGACGCTATACACTAATCAAATTCAAGCGGATAACCAAATGGAAATGGTATTTACCATTTTGGGTTGGTATTTAACAATCCGTTCAAGCGAGTGTAGTTATCAGTTTGGTTATAAGATCGGTGACGTCACGAATCATTATATGTCATAGTTATCACCGCAAAATTGTGGTATTTACCCAACTCAAGAGTAGTTTTATATTTCTGGTTATTATTTGAAATGTGACAAGCTAGAATTTTGCCGGGTATTGGATATTGTTATTGTACTTCAGCTTCATTTTTGGGAAAAATGATATAGGCTGACTTCAGTTTTACCATAAAGTGGAGCACCTTATTAGTTATACTCATTACGGTTGTTGGGGACACTTTAAACGTAGTTCCTATGCTTAACAAAGTATCCTGTGTAGCCATATACCACAAGAATATTAAAATATGGCCATATAAACTCACTAGATGATATCCACCTGTATACGGTTTTGCTAATTTACCTTTTTTCATCATTTCTGCTGAATCAATAAATGTTTTCTTTGAATACGGAAAAATTTAGAGAATTGAAAGTTATGATAGCTACAAAGCCATGGTTCCATCATTAAAAAAAATCTGAAAAAAACATTTCTCCCATGAATATTATGAAAGGTTTCTTATTTAAACTTTCCATATACAGTTGTAGACGAAAAAGCACCGATTATTAAGTGATAATAAAAATAATCAGAGATTATATACGCGCTTTTCTAAGATAAACAACTTGCAGCAAAACCGCGGTTAAAACCAACGCGTTCAAGCGATTCGTGTAACTGACGTCATCAACCCGTGTGTCATCTTGAACCATATTATAACCGCGGCACATAACACAGAAATTTTGGTTATTCGCTTGGATTTGATTAATGTATCGCATTTTATCTCACATAATTTTGTTGACACTTGAATAGAGCATTAGGTTGGCTAAGAAAATATAATAAGAAAGAACTATAGAAAAGTTTAGTAGATTGTTACAGTTTGAAATTTTAGATACACAAAAATTGCGTCATTAGTGAGTAAATTAGAAAAACTCAGTATTCAAAATTTTTTGACATTACGCCCTGGATCATAAAAAAAATGGAAAATGTCTGAAAGCGAGGAATCGGTTACTTGAAGTCATTACGGAAATATTCTACTACGCCTAACGATATCATCTGATTATCTCCGAATATTTCCAACATCGGATTTGTAGGTTGTAATACATTCTCACCAAATGTCGAGGTAATCAATTGAAATTATTGAGAACTAACGAATTTGAAAATATATAACAGATATAGCCGCCCCTGTATCAATTCCAATGCCATATATCTGTTTTCACTTAACACCCAATGTAACAAAAAAACACTTGAGCATTATTGCTAAATAATATTATATGCGAGTATACCCAGTATTTATTTCGGTAAATAAACTAACTTCACTGTACTATCAGCTCCTTAAAAGCACAAGGCCAACGATCGTAGCATGTCCGCGGCGCGTAGCCAATAAAATGCTTGCACTGCACTGTGTTTATTCAATGAAAACACTCCGGATTTTTGTTGTTTTATCGATATTAAAGATTCAATATTTAATCAATCTAAAATCGCATGCACTCCACTAAAATTATCGTATTTCATTCTGCACTTCACACCGATTAACTGAACGCCATTTGCGAATAAACTGGGCAAGAAAAGGCGAGGGGGGCTAGACAGTAGACAGAGAGCTGTATCGATTTATTTCTGTGCTGCCCCCCTCTACATCGAGCTCCCTACGGAATTAATTATTTTGTTCAGAGTGGGGTTAATTCCGGTTAAGTAATTTTAATTTAACGACTTAAATTTATGCATTGTAATGAAAATAATAATAAGTATTTTAGCATTTGAATTCAGATTATACTATATGATCTGATTTTTAACAGCTTTTACATTAGATCAGTGTTTCTCAAACGGTAGCGGGGCGTGTCTATGGGGGTCACGAACTATTTATAGAGAAGAATTAAATAGTTACTGATAAATACATAATGACATATCTTTATTTTCATCTGACTCCAAAAAAAGTAGGTATTGGATATTGTCAGGAAATGCAAAATATGAAACAACAAATTATTTCTAGAAAGATAGCTGGATTTTTATTGATCACATTTCATAAAAAGTTAACGGTACGCGGTACGAGTAGAAATGCCTGGGAAATGCAAACACTTTTTGTTATTGACTGTATTTCTTGAACATGAACGGGAGGTCGGGCAATTTGAAGGACATTTTGACCATCATGACCTCTGGACCCAAGGGCGTACTCAGCTCAAAACGAAAGTGGGACACTTTCAAAAAAAATTTGGGTGGAAAATATCTACTTAACTATGTTTGATATTTTTCTTCCTATACGCATTTCATTGTTTTATCTATTTGTACAGAGTCCTCCACGACTATTTGACAATTCATATTTATATGGAAAACTATACTAGGGTTACTTCAAGCAAATATTCCGCGAGATGCGTTTTTAAGTAATAATTCAGTCGTGCATTTTATAAAATATATAAAAACGCAATTTTTACACCATTCAACCGACCCACATCTCCCATCGTTTAGAAGATCACACTGGTGAAAATATGATAAATTTGTTTTTCAAATCATTCTAATATAAACTAGGTACATCCCTCTACATATTATAATATATAAAACTATTTTTGGCTGTGTGTTATAATGGGTGATTTTTTTGCTAGTATCTTTTTGGCAACACTGTTTTTGACAGATGACGCGTGAATCGTGTCTTGTGTCATTGTCAAACTTGTTCAGTTTGGTCTATAATTTAACCATGAATCGACTTACGAACAACGCTTGCAAATTATTGAATTTTACTATCAAAATTCATGCTCGGTTAAGAGAGTGCATCGAGCACTGCTTCCAATTTATGGGCAATTTGGTCGGCCTACTGAGCGAGCTATTCGGAAGCTTGTGACTAAATTTCGAACCCAGTTTACATTATTGGACATTAAACCACCAACACGCAGACGTAGAGTGAGGACTGAAGAAAATATTGCGGCTGTATTCGCCAGTGTTAGTGATGACCGTGAAATGTCGATTCGCCGCCGTTCGCAGCAATTGGGCCTCTGTTACTCCACTACGTGGAAAATTTTGCGACAGGATTTGAGTGTAAAACCTTATAAGATACAGCTGGTGCAAGAATTGAAGCCACACGACCTCCCACAACTTTTCCAATTTGGTGAATGGGCGCTGGTAAAGTTGGAGGAAGATCCACATTTCTATCGAAAAATTGTGTTCAGCGACGAAGCTCATTTCTGGTTGAATGGGTACGTTATCAAGCAAAATTGCCGCATCTGGAGTGAAGACCAGCCAGAAGCATTGCAAGAGCTACCAATGCATCCCTAAAAAATCACTGTTTGGTGTGGATTATGGGTCGGTGGCACCATCGGGCCGTACTTCTTCAAAGACGACAATGGCCGTAACGTAACTGTGAATGGCGAGCGCTACCGTGCGATGATAACAAACTTTTTTTGCCCAAAATGGAAGAGCTGGACTTGGCTGACATGTGGTTTCAACAAGACGGTGCCACATGCTACACCGCACATGAAACAATGGCCCTATTGAGAGGCGAGTTCGGTGAACAGTTTATCTCACGTTTGGGGCCCGTCAATTGGCCGCCTAGATCATGTGATTTAACGCCGTTGGACTATTTCTTGTGGGGCCATGTTAAAGCTAATGTCTACAGGGATAAACCAGCAACGATTGACGCACTGGAAGCCAATATATTGAAGCATTTATTCGTGAGATACCGGACGATATGTTGGAGAGAGTGTGCCAAAATTGGACCTCGCGCATGGGCCATCTCGACTCAAATGAAGATTTAATCGTTTTTTCAGATTTTTTGTGTTTTTTTTTTGAAAATCAAATCCTATACCTCTTAAAAAATCACCCGTTACAACGAAATGTTGGGAATCTCAAAACTGGCGATACTGCAGACCAAAATATGGGAGTGAGATGCAATAAGCATTGACAAGTCTAGTTACATGGAATCTCGAAGAAGAAAAACATAATAAAACATAATAGGACTGTACTTATGCAATCTGTATTCCTCATCACAACAGACACTTAAAACCACCAAGCAGTCGACGTTAATAAAAAAACTGCCTCAGCTAGGTGCTTAACAATGGTATTGTTTAATCGAATAATAGAGCAGGAAGAGATAGATAATAATGCGACACTGACCTTTTCTTGCTCAGTCCGTCTACAAGACTGTTCCAGATAATTCCGAAAGTAATTGACTAACTGATGAACGTCCATCAATTCAGCTCCGTTTGATAAAATATCTCTTGAGATTATGATTAATAAATAATATATGGTATGGTAAAATTATTGCAAAAATATTTAATGGCTGTTAAATATAAGATAAACAAATGGAGGATTTTTAGAATAATTCCACTTGTCAATATGACGTCACAGATTCACATATTTAGTATATTAGAGCCGTTTTACACACAAGAGAATTACTCCGAAAATTATGGTCATAATTATGCTGAAAATTTGCATGTACAAAATATTGAAGTTTTTCTCTACAACCTGTATGCCACAAGCAAACAAAATTTCGGAGTAATTCATATGATACGCCTGCGCATTAGAGTAATATTTTCGAATGGACATAACCTTAACGGGTATGACGTCCAATATAATCGGAAAGACAACAGACGTCGATGATTTAAACTTATTTTTGAAATCGAGATCTTGGTTAATATTATAAAACTTCTCAATGCTTGGACTATCGCATCCAGCGCCTGACGCCGCAAATTTCTGTTTTTGTAATTGGGTGAGGTCACAGGTTTGGCCATTTTTGGAACTCCTCCAACAACAGCGTAAATTCTTGCCGATTCCACGACATTATGAATAAACAATAACAATAAACGCTCCTTCGTACGACTCGAACAGGACCACTCCCACAAATGTTAAGTGAGGTTATGTTGTTGTTGTTGTCGTTGACATTTGATATTGACATGCACGGAAATAACCCTCTGCGCCGATTCTCGCGCATATTCTATAGAACGGGTTTTATATTTTTACCATGAAAATTTTCACAAGAATTCTTTTACGTGTAATAAGACAGCAAACATTTTCGGCATAATTATGACCATAATTTTTGGAGTAAATCTCTTGTGTGTAAAACGGCTCTATATCGGCAAAGACACCCACTTATCAACTCACATAATCTCGGTGACTATATTTCAAAGCGGAAAAGGGAACTTTCCCAATTATAGGGGGTCCAAAGATTATGGGGCAGACCGACGGAAACGAGTGAATGGTAATATACAGGGTGGCCAACTAAGATTGCGAGGTACTGTATCTGGGAACTTATCCATCGTAGAGGCTTGCGGTTATTACTGAAACGGTCAAGAGAAAAACCTGCAAAATATATTCAAGTTTCTGAAATGCTCACTAAAGGGCGTCACTTCAATCTTGAATCTAAAAAAGTGATGTTTCTGTGACTTCCGCTATATACTTTGAAGTTGAGTCATTAATTTTCAGATAATGATTGTAGAAGGAAGATAAACCAAAATATGTGTGTAAAAATAAAAAAAAATGTTACCTTGTTTTATAAAGTATCCTCCCGACAAGTATTTCAGTGCGGACCTGTATTTGATCGTGCGGTCTTGGAGAACCGGCATGCCCTCCCCTGTGAGGTCTTAAGTCACCTGATTCACGAGCCCTTTGTACTACATTAACAAAGGCACGAGGGGTTGGTTGCACTCGATTGGGGAACCGATTTGCACAAATCCGTGATGCCGCGGCAGCATTTTGTAAATAAGAATCATGTCCACAAGTTCAGCATTTTCGTAAACATGTGCCATTTTTTATTTCGTTTGAGCCACGCAACAAACACCACTATTCACTCACGCGTTACCGACTGAATCCAACTAAAAACATCGTGATAAACGTTTCAAATTCTTTCGCTTTTTTGTTTCCGATGCGATGAACCGGTAAGGCGGATTATATCCGTTGTCGCCAAACACGAGCACATAATATTATTATTGAGACAGGGCGGTACTCAAACTTCTAAAGGGCTATAACTTTGTTAATTTAATTTTACCAGAAAAATGTTAAAGGAAAAAAACATTTCTTTTGATCAGATCTACTCACTGTTAAAATAAATGACTCAACTTCGAAGTCTTAACCTAACTAGGAAATACCTGATCTTTAAGTTCGAAGAAAATCTGTAACTTTTTTGTTTTATATTTTTGCTGTATCTTTAAAAATAACGTGGTGGGGGTAGTCAAAGGTTTGCGTAAAAACACCCTGTATCTCCGAAACTGCTGAGTCGATTTTAATAAACTTGGGCTAGTTGATAGGAGCTATTCTTGGGCTACAAACGTTATAATACTTGAAGTTTTGTTATTTTCACATGTGACCGCTAGAGGGCTTTTTCGACATTCCGACAGAAAAGCTTAATTTTCTCAAACTAAAATTTAATGCATTGGTATAATTTTTTTATGAAAAAGTATCTAAATGACGCCTAAACAAGCTCGCAAAAACGCATCTCGATATCTTGTTCTAACCTAAAATTTTGGACAAAGAAAATTTTATACGAAATTTTTTTAAACTAATTTTTCTGGAATTTCTTTAAAGATAAAAATTTAAGGTATTCCAGAATAAAATTTTCTTTGGCCTAAATTTTAGGTTAGGAACAAGGTATTGATGCGATTTTCGCGAGCTTGTTTAGACATCATTTAGCTACTTTTCCATAAA